GTCGAGGGTGGATTAGTTCTGCACCAAGCTGGAAGAGTTCTACTTAACAAGTCAGTAGCACTCAATTCCTCACTAACCATATTTGACGCAGAAGTCACTGCAGTTATCCTCGCAGAAGAAGCTGCTCTGGGCCTCCCTACCGCTAGGTTCGCTAATAATCTCTGGGTTCTGTTAGATAACCAAGACGTAGCATGTAAATTAAAAAGTCTTCCAATTTGCTCCTCACAGAATAAGTTTGTCCAGTTCGCCGAGTATGCAACAGCTTGGAAAAACCGGCCCCGACTTCCACACACCATTACAGGTGAAATAAAAGTGTTCTGGATACCAGGACACTCCGGGATTAAAGGAAACGAACAGGCAAATGCTGCGGCCAAAGCGGGCCTACTCCTACCTCCACCCTCAACCACGCCCCTAACTTTGGCATCTGCCAAAAACCGGTTAAAATCATTAACAGGCTCCCTTCTCGAGGAATTCTGGAGACTGGAAGCCCCAACGTCATATCGAGCACTAGGAATCAACACCATCGAACGTTGTCCGGGCGAACTTTTCTTAAAACGTTCCCTCGTAGCCCATCTTTATGCTGCCCGCTCAGGGCATGGCGACTTTGCTGCTTACCGCGAACGTTTCAAACACGTCGACGCACACAAAATATGCAGTTGCGGGGCTCCCAAGTCACCAAGGCATCTCCTAACCTGCCACATTCCCTCAGTAAGGCTACCTAGAGTTCCAAGGAGCTACAGCGATAACGTTAGTTACCTATTTGGTAGTCAAGATGGAGCAAAAAAATTGACATAGTGGCTGCAAGATACAGAATTCTTTCCAAAAATCTGCCCCCGACACAGAGCAGAATCTTACCACGTTTATGCTGACTAGAAATTTGCACAGAAGGATGTTATACTCTGGCCCTTTAAACCAACTCAAATATATAGATAGTAAGCTGTCCCAGTATTTTCATGCCCAAGAAACTTTATCGCAAATTCATTTCATGTTATGGAGCAGGATAACCCTTCTATAACCCTTTGCCCAGAAAAACTAAAGGCTTTGGCAATTCAGGTTTGGACAGTCAAAGGCCTCAGGTTTCCAGGGCAGTAAGCTTTGGCGTCTTATGTCCTACTTAGGATTTATATTAGATAGACGTAAAATAATAAACCAAACCAAACCAATCTAACAATTTATCATCAATTCAAGGCTCCTTCAATCATTTCTTTAATTCAATGTCTGTAATAGGACGCTTCTCGAGGGCTATGGAGTCGCTAGAACTAATATTAATCTACTTTAATGTATATTCATTATCTAGTTAGACGACCTGTTCCCTCTCTATAGATTACAATCAAATTATTGTTTTGCCTTCAGCCAGAGCCTTTCCTGACTTTTATGCTGTCACAACGCCTTATGCGGTATATTTAGACAGATCCATGAAGACAGTAAGCCATTTTGAGAAGGGAAAAAGCTTTCAAGCAACACAACCCAGTGCTGCCCCTCTGAACCGACCTGGCTCAATACTGAGGACGTTACTTTCAACCATAACCTCATAAACTTTCCCCATACTTCAATAACTTCCCCTTCAATCAGAATATTGCTAAGAGAAATTGAAAAGATAAGGCACCTCCTCACTCGGCGTTGGTCTTCGAAGTGTTGGAAGAGTCGGCCTCGATGGTGGTGTGACTGTCGCGGGGATGGTTAGTGCCGCTTGGGCATCGACTACCTTTTGCAGTCGTCCCGGCCCTCTTCTGAGTCCTTCAGTCTTCTTACTAGTGACCAAAGTGAATCCCTGATCATCTGTCATCCGGACTGTTTGTCTAAGTTCCGCTGGAGGGTTCAATTGTGCTGGTGATGCCTAGGATTACGATGCACAAGGGTGAAGGAAGAACTTTCCAAGTGGCTCCATGATGATTAGAGAAACAATGAAGCACTGTATGGAGGGTGTTTCTAGATTAGACTACCAGATGGAGGAGACGAGTAAATTCCGTGATAATATTTTGGGTAAATAAGGCGAGAGTCTAGCTACCCCAGATGTGTATATAATTAGCGCTTTCTACCTCCTAAATACTCAAAGTTCTGAATACCAAATATATCAGCAGTTCACATTGATTCATCGATAATCATCCGTAAACATTCTGCCAATTAACCTCTGTAAGCTCTTACCTTTACAACAGGTTCTCATTCTAGATTTCCGCCGTTTTTGACAGAAGCTCCATCCGAGCCTTTTCCACACCTCGTAGACTTGGTAAGCTCGACAAACTGCTTGTTGCCATGAAAATTTTTCCTTGCCGCAGTTCATACAAAAAACTCTTTTACTCGGATAGTTCTGAGTTTGGTGAGCACCAGCGCACTCACCGCACCTGGCTACCTTTCCACATGACGCCAGGGTGTGTCCCTATTAGCTGCAGCTGTAGCACTGCTTTGTTGAGCCCGTAGTGACCACACTTGTGCAGTGAAGAGCATGGCGTTGATGATAAGGCCATGTCGAATCATATTCGGTTGAATTTCCTCCGATAGGAAGCTGACTGCTATTAATCCACGAGTGCGGCCATTTATAATTGGACGCTGGTGTTACTTTCCATCGTATTCTATTAATTGTAAGGCCAAGAATCCGAGCCCCAGTCAACGTCAACGTCTCAATCTCTCTGATGAAGGCATAGTTGTCGGCGTCTCTGTCGCTCTTAATTCTTGTCTGCGGTGGGACTCCGGAAACCTCAACTGAAAAGTCTTGACGTAAAATCTTGAATTCTTGAGGTTGTCGCATATTGAGTACCGCGTCTCTCTAGGACGCCGTTTGAACATTCACCTCGGTATTATTGTTTCGCGTCTAGCGAATTGCGCATGTTGCTTAGATATGTCATGCCTTCGAGAGCAGCTCTTGTGACTACAAATTTTTGGCGACGTCGATTCTTACTCTGACTGCCATTTTTGTCATTTGCGGAGCTACGACGGACACGTTGGCCCATGGTGAAGGCTTCCCAGACGCTACTGTTGTAATTCTAACTGTCCTGCATCTGTTACACTAGTCATGTACTATATCTTTTTAGTTGCCCTTATTCGTATTATTTAATACTGCGCCACATCCATCTTCTGCAATATTAATTAGCCTTGGCGCTTAACACAAGATATGTTGGAAATTATGGTATATGCATGATTCTGTCTTACACTCAGCTAGCTTGGGGGTCTACTGGTGGTCAGGACATACCTTCACCATGATAATGTCGCCATACTGGGACATGGGCGCATATCCTGGCTTATTTCTAAATTCTTCTCAGTAGGACTAATTCCTGTATATATATGTACTGTTCTTCTCCTTCAGAGATCCTCAATTCATTACATTTACTGAATATCTCTGAAGGTCTATTCATACCCTCTTCGTGTCACCCTACCAAGCTATACTCTTAAGCTCTATTCAACTGCTTCATTGTTCGGCATATATCCTTCACCTCCCTATACCATTCCAGCATTCCTCTACGATCCATAACCTTACCATAGCTACAACAGGAGCAGCTTGTCGTGTGGAGTCCGCGAGGCTCTTCTTGACGACCTCCTCTAGCGCTATCATCCTCTCCTCTACTGGAGATGTGATCTGGGACATCGTTGTTCAAACTTTCTTGTGATAATTGAATGCCTTTACGGCTTCATTTATGTCCTCCATTGTTGGTAGATCTTCCTCACCTACCACTCCCATTATTATAAGTCTGACTTTTTTCAGTAGTTTCCCTACAAGTTCTAAGTTTAGATCCTTTGGAACTATCTGCACTCTGATGCCTTCAGATTTGTTTGCCGATGTCGCTTTTTGCGATGTGTCGAAACCACTGAATTTACCCACACCCAACATGTTATAGCACGGAAAGTGAAAATGTGGGATATTGGTATAGAAGATAAATAAATGAAATTCACGATGTTAAATTGATGATAAGGGCAGCGTGAAACACTGCGCAGCTTTCTTGCAAAAACGATATTTGCTTTAATTCAAGGTGGTTATCACTCATAAATTGAAGACCTATGTTTCCCGGGACACATTCAATATGTGTAAAAGCCCAGCTTTTCGTCACTCAAAGGGGGAGAATTACGTCGTGCACAGACTTCTATCACAATAAAGTCCAGTAACAGTAAAGCGCTGAAGAGGTACGTGACTAAAGTTTTTTCGTACATGGATACCAGATCAGCTCTACTGCCAGAATTGTATAACATTTAGTATGTTGTCCGATATTGCATGTGATATAGCACAGAATCTTGAATTTATCATATTTCACCGGGTCGAAGAAGATGACGTACAGATCCAATATTGTAAATTACATAGGTCTCCATTGACCAGTTTTTTCCCGACTGACAATGATGAATTAGTTCTAACTTCTTCAAAGTTCTTTATATCCTTTCTCTCAGTTCTTGGGCTTGATAAAGTGTAGTTTTCAAGAGGTTAAGATTTGACATACAGACCTTTTTGATAAGCCTACCCTCTGCTATTTGAATTAAACTTGAATCAATTTCCAACATACTCATCTGTAAATTTGTGGGGCTTGGTTGAGAAATGCTTCTCTGTGCGTCATGATCCAAGGAGCCCTTCTCGCTGCATCGATAGAGTTCCTTTTAGCCGCCTTAGACAGTAAATTAGGATAAATAGTGTACATGTTGTGAATTTCAAATCACGAGTTTCAGCTTGACGTCTTCAATTGTGAAAATTAGTTATTCTAGGAACATGTTTGTGAGTCCCGTATCATGTTCCATGAGTGCTAGGTTTGTGCCCGTCACGAATAGATATCCATTCATGGTTGTGAGTAGTGACCGGATGTCTCCGACGGTCATTTCCTCTTGTTTAAACGACATCATTTACGCGCACCCGCCACCAAGCGAAAGCACGAGCCTGATCTTGCTTGCGCAGCAGAACTATACGAACGTAAAGTTAGTTGATACTTGCATCTATCTTGTATTAATACAAGTTTGTATATTTCACTCGGCTTCCTTAAAACCTGTGTCTTCCTTTTCCCAGGGAAGGCGCATTTATAGTAACTGATATGAATCCTGTAAGTTTAGAACATTGAGATCCCATGCATTCCGTTCATATCCCAAACACTCACCCCTCATCACACTGCGTGTTCTATAATTAATTCCCAAAATGCTGATGAGTTATTAATATTGGGCCTGGAACAGATTTACTCTACAGATATCGAGTCTCCTAGTGACATGTTAGTCGACTCAGATGAACTGTTAAACGACGTTGAGAATGAGAAAGATGATGGAAATGTACATGATATTCTTACTGATGAAATAATTCTCCGTGGCGACGATGGTACGACTTGCTCAGCATAACGTTTCTAGCTAGATCAAGGCTGACTCCATTTTAGTAGAAACAATGCGAGAACTTGTCTTGCCACCTATACATGAGCAACCCGAAATTCTTGAGAACAAATCATACAGCTGGCAAATTACAGATTGGACGCAGCTTCCTAGGAGACATCGCTCACCCGTATTCTGGTGTGGGGGCCATCCATGGTACATATCTTCTCTATTCACTTAGATGGAATCCTCTAAGAATCAGATGCTGATACTAGCCCAGGCGAATCTTAATGTTTCCTAAAGGCAATAATGTTGATTACTGCTCAGTTTACTTGGAACATGGTTATGAAGATGGCTCAAAGGCAGGGCCAATCCCGCAAAACTTTACATGTTGCATGCAATTTGGGTTTGTTTTGTACAACCCAGACGCGCCCACATGCTTCGTTCATAATACCGCTAATCATCGCTTCACTAAAGACGAGGGTGACTGGGGATTCACTAGATTTGTCGAGCTAAGAAAATTGTGGAATGTGCCATGGGATAACCAAAATAATTATCTGGCGCCTGGTGAAAGAGCAATTTTAACTGCATATGTTAGACACGTTAAAGATGAAACTGGCGTTTTATGGCATAATTTTCAAAATTATGATTCAAAGCAAGAGACAGGCTACGTCGGCTTGAAAAATCAAGGCGCAACGTGCTATCTTAATTCGCTAATTCAATCTCTTTATTTTACCAACGCCTTCCGCAAGGTTAGTACCGTGTTTTTAACTACGATTTGATCAAGATTACTAAAAAAAGACAAGGCTGTCTATCAAATACCAACTCAAAATGAAGAAACTCTAACAAATAGTGCCTATACACTTCAACGACTTTTTTATCAATTGCAAACATCAAAATATGCCGTTGGTACCTCTGAACTCACCAAATCTTTTGGCTGGGAGACTAGACATATTTTTGAGCAGCAGGATGTCCAGGAACTCTCACGAAAACTGATGGAGCGTATGGAAGAAAAGATGAAGGGAACTGAGGCTGAAAAAGTGTTGTCAAAACTGTTTAGTGGCAAGGTTCGGACCTATATCTCTTGTATCAATGTCGATTACGAATCTCACCGACTCGAAGACTTTTGGGATATCCAATTAAATGTGAGCGGAAACAGAGATCTCGAGACGAGCTTCCAGGACTATATTCAAGAAGAGATTATGGATGGAGAGAATCAGTATATGGCAGGAGACGAATACAAGCTTCAGGATGCTAAAAAGGGTGTCATATTTGAGACCTTTCCCGATGTTCTTCATTTACAACTAAAGCGCTTCCAGTATGACGTCGAGCGAGACGCTATGATGAAGATCAATGACCGATATGAGTTCCCGGAAATTTTTGATGCTTCACCTTACTTGGCCGATAATGCCGACAAATCGGAGCCTTACATTTACCAACTTCATGGTGTGTTAGTCCATAGCGGCGATCTGAATGCTGGACACTATTACGCTTTTATTAAGCCTGAGAAGAACGGATGGTTTTACAAATATGATGATGACAAAGTAACGAGAGCAACTATTAGAGAAGTTCTAGAAGATAACTATGGCGGTGAATTTTTATATCCTAATGGTCAAGTTCCTATAAGGAAGAACAAGCCACTTATGCGGCAGAACAATGCTTACATGCTGGTATATATTCGGCAGACTCGACTGGACGATGTCCTCTTCCCAGTCACGAAAGACGACACCCCAGCGCATCTACGTAAGTTACTCGCTCTGTAAATTAAATATTCTTGCTAAAATTCAAAGAATACAAGCTAGATGAAGAAGCAAGAATACGAGATGCACGAAAAAAAGAACGAGAAGAACAGCACTTATACTTAGTGGCCCGTGTTATCACAGAAAATACACTAAGAGAACATGGTGGCACAGATCTTGCCGTTATAAATTCAAACGAATGGTCGAGCCCGGGTTCTGCTTCTTATTATCGGCTCTTACGGAAGTCTTTATTGAAGGAACTGATTCAACAGGTATCTCACGATACAGATGTTGACCCTCGACGCGTACGTATGTGGGCAATGGTAGGTCGTCAGAATAAAACTGTTCGACCTGATCAGCCCATACATGATATAAATGTCACCATGGAGGAAGCATACCAAAAAATGGCCGGTAACAAGAACGGAGAGTTCCGCTTATGGGCGGAAGTTGCTGAGGAGGTTGATTCAGAAGGCAATGCTATATGGCCAGCTAGTCCTGGTCTTGTTACGAACAAAGCTCTCACTAAGTCTGATATAATTATTCTTTTCCTAAAGCATTTTGATATCAGGGCTCAAAAGCTCAGCTGCATTGGCTACATATATATCAATAAGGACAAAAGAGTCGAGGATCTAGTACCAATAATTTTAAAGAAGATGGGCTGGCCAGATAGGTCACTAAATGGTGATAAGATTCAGCTAACCCTATTTGAAGTAAGTCCTTACGCCAAATTTCCAGCAAATTTACTTAACAATTTAAAGGAAATTAAGCCTACCATGATCGAGCCAATGAAGGCCAAGCAAACCCTAAGAGCAGCAGAGCTTCAAGACGGTGATATTGTCTGCTTTCAGCTACCATCCTGTGATGTGAAGCTCGATGAGTTGGTTATTCTTCTCATGATATTATGATTACTAATAGTTTCAGAGGACCTAACTCGAAAAATGGAGTAAATGTTAATAGCAAGCTAGGCTCGCTTGATCAAACCCAGTCTGAGAAAAGTATCTCCACCTTGACTTCCTTAAATACTGATCCCATACGCTCGTCTCAGGACTTCATTGAGGATGCGCGCTTCTTTTATGATTGGCTATCGAATAAGAGAGATGTACTTTTTAGTCCTCATCCCACTCGGAATCCAAATCCCGAGGTCTACGCTCCTTTTACACTTACTCTTAGCAGCAAATATTCATATGATCAAATGGCTGCCAGAGTAGGGCAGCACTTAAGGGTAGATCCCACCCATATTCGATTCTGGACAACTCATGCCGCAACCGGTGCACCAAAGATAGCTGTTAAGCGCGTCCAATCACAAAATGTTACTTCAATTCTTAACCCTCCCTATAGCTCACTCTCAAATGCCACTCAAAAATATGATGCGCTCTTTTTCGAGATACTTGAAATAAGTTTATCCGAGCTAGATACAAAAAGGGCGCTCAAGGTATACTGGTTAAGTGAAGGTATTTCGAAGGTTGAAGAATTTGACATACTTGTTCCAAAGAACGGTAACGTTGAAGATTTAATTCAAGCCCTATTAAAGAAAGCACAGCTTGATGATGATGAGGAAACTGGCGGCCCTATTCGCGTTTATGAAACACACAGCAGTAGAATATACAAAGTCATTGGAAAAGAATATCAAATTTCTAGCATCACAGACTACGTCAATGTTGTTGCTGAACGCTTGCCAGTGGAAGATATTGAACCAAATCAAGCCGGAAATTGGGTGTATGCCTTTCACTACCAAAACGACCCTAGCAAAACTCACGGTATTCCTTTTATTTTTCGCACCATTATTTCTGAGAAGTTTTCAGACACCAAAAAGAGGCTGGAGAAACGTACCGGCTTCAAGGGTAAAGTTTTTGAGAAAATTAAGTTTGCAATCATTGCTCGTGGGTCATTTGCAAAACCATTATATCTTAATGATGGTAAGTGAAATCCTTGATTAACTTTTCCAAAACTTACATTTGGATAGACGATATACTCGAAGAACATCTGACTCATCGTGATGACATGCTTGGACTTGATCATGTTGATCGATCGAGAGGAGTAAGAAATGGCGCCGTCGACTTATTTCTTAAGTAGGCTATGACGTGGAGACCTCCACATGCACCCAAAGCTATATAGGCAGGGTAGCGAAGCATGCCCTGGTGATGCAGAATCACCAAGAAACTCAGCAGTAACTTACAATACCAACTCAGCTAGGGTATTTGTATTTACTGCTAATATCGGTCCATGCTACAGAAGGAACAAAAAAAAAGTGAGCTCATCAAGGAGTTGAGGCTATAAATGGGACCTTGACAGGCAATCACTAGGATCCAAGTCCACAGACTATGCAATTGGAGAACTGGCGCAAAATGAGTCTATGTAGGTGAAGATGTTTGTGTCTACTAACTTATAAGTTGGGCGAATGAATAAGAGATATAGATATATGATATCAGGTTATTTTTGTGGGAAAAAGAAGCGGAAGGTTACACAGTGATGAAGTTATATCTTTACAATTGCATCTTTATATATTGATTTCTACGATGAATTTAGAGCTTCTACATACAGCACAATTGTACTCTAAATACATCAATTACTGGGGCCTTGGAGCGCCTCCTTTAAAGAGATACGCGTATTTTACGTGGAAATAGAGGCTAATTGACATGGCTTGCTTTCCAAAGCTGATTTGCTTGGCTGATAATTTGGCATACCCCAAAATTTCGGGAGAATTCGTTGAACGTGTGTAATAGCAGTCCACCGGATGGGGTTGCTGGTATTAATCATTACCGTGAGACCTACTGATAGGAGATTGCCTAGGTAATAATGCTTGTGGAAGTAAAGAAAACAGACTAAGGATCGCTTTCAAGAGCAACGCGTCGCTTTTGTTGATCACGTTGTAGCTTTTTAAAGAAGGGATTACTTTCCTTCTTCTTCTTTAATTCCTTGTTCATACTCTTGTTCTGCTCGACATATGCCATATCCTGTCCACCAGCCAGTTCACTCAGCATGCCTGCCGTCCTACGTGCTCCCTTTTTCTTCTTTGCGTGTCGCCCAGTACCATCGACACGGTGAAACAGGTCGTCGACATCTTCATAATCCTTGCTAGTGTCGGCTTCGTTGTGAATCATGATGTTTTGGAGTAGTTCTCGACGCTCAGCTGGGCTTGTAAAGGCAAGTTCCGGAAGTTTTTCTATGCCTTGAAGATGAGTAATAACTTTAAAAGCATAGCCCTGATCGACAAGAAATGCCTGGCGTTTGGATGAATACACCATCTCTTGTGTGTCTTTAGAGACGAGAGAGTAGAAGAAGGCATTGAAGCCCTCGTCGTTCCTCCGTTTGGCTCGTAGAATTCGACCAAGACGTTGGGCTTCTTGACGACGCGAGCCGAAATGGGAGGAAATCTGGATAAGACATGTGGCTTCAGGAAGATCAAGGGAAGTATCCCCAATCTTAGAGAGGAAAAGCGTGTTAACTTGATCATTATGCTGGAAATTTTCAAGTATGCGTAAGCGCTCGGCATTGCTTGTTTCGCCATGGATAAATACTTTTCGAAGCTTAGTTGCGTATGCCGTGAGAGCGTAAATATTATCTGAGAAGACGATGATCTTGTCACCTCGTTTCTCGTGATAGTCAATTAAAAACTGACAGGCCTGAAATTTCCTTGGATTCATGATCCACAGTAGTGACTGCTTGGCCTTTGGAAGCCGGAGGTATTCAGTGTAGAATTCTGTTGTCATAGGACACCAAACCTCTGCACATTGGACCCGGGCAATGTGCCCCTGCTCCGCAAGCTCCATCCAATTAGCCTCATACAATTTAGGACCAATCAAGAAGTTCAAGTCACCAATCTTCTGGTCCTCGCGCAAAAGTGTAGCGGTCAGCCCAAGTTTTGAATGGGTTTTTATTATAGAGGTGACTCGTCTAAACATATGAGCTGGTGCGACGTGTACTTCGTCCAGAATCATCAATCCCCATTCTCGACCCTGGAGAAAATCCATCATCTTCTGAGAATCGTAAGACCTTTTGCCTTTCTGAGCGACCATATTGTATGTAGTAACGATAATACCAGTATTACCGGTGAATTTATCCTTGTTATCAGAAGTAAAGACAGCTATATCGTTAGGGTTGATATTGGACCACTTCAAAAACTCCTGGCGCCATTGAAAAACAGACATAGAACTTGTACACAGAATAATGGCGCCTTTCTTAATGGTACAAGCTGCAGTAATGCCAACTAATGTTTTTCCGGCGCCACAAGGAAGAACAATCAGTCCACTCTTGGCTCGCCCATTTCCAAACATTTTACTTAGCGATTTTTCTTGGTATGGTCTGATTTGAGCGGCAGGCTTTAAATCAATGTCGAGTGTTGCATTGGCATCATCATTCCTAAAATCATATTCCTCAAGTATTGGCAGGGACATTTCCAAGCATGCTTTCTGAACAATTTCTACACTATCATCCGCAATCTGGAAAGAGTGAACTGCTTCCGCCTCATCTTCGTCATCCTCTTCATTTAGAGTTGCATATATATCTTCCTGGCTAACAGAATCACTTTGCTTAGGCTCGGCCGGCTGGGCTTCAGTCTGCTGCACACCAGCGGCATTTTTTGTACCAGGTATGACAAGTGCACCCATCTTTGGCGCTACAGAGGTTGTTATGGCTTCAGCACCCTGGAACCTACAACCATTTATAACGGAATTCTTTAGCAGCTGCTGTAACATATTAGGATCTGAACTCTCCACGAAATGTTTATTGTTCTTCAGCACTAGTTTTACTTTTCCGTAGCTATGAGTACATCCTGTAATGAAATCTTTGATGCCTTCAGGAATAGGCATTTTTGACAACCGATTCAAGACATTAATTATATCTGGGGGATCTAAACCAACTGATACCGCAGCATAGAGGCTGTGTGGAGTTAGAGAGTACTCATGCAAAAACTGTGGACGCGACTGAGGCTCAGCCACTGTAGTGAGAAAATCTTGAGCGTGGGATGCTAGAGGTAGGAAGCTCTCCAATATTATATTTGCCTTCGACGGGTCGATCCATAAAGGCCGATTATTATGATCTGGTTTCAACGAAAGGTAAGAGTAATCGTGGTCACCGAAGTATTGACTTGCTGAATCTCGTCCTCTTATTAAAGTTTTATTTCGCTGAGTCTGATATGACTGAGCATCAAGCTTAGCTAAGACCTGTGTTTTTAACTCTTTGGCTTGCTCGTTCTCTTCTTCACTAGCATTAGAAGATTCATAATCACTCTCGTCAAGAGCCCGAGCTGTGCCAGGCGTAGAAGCGGCTGTATCTTTGCTGGCTTTGTTAATACCTGCGTTGGCTAATTATTACAAGTTAGTTGTGGAGATTTGTTGTGCCAAAACAGGGCATACTTGAGGTCGCCTTTCTCTTCGCAGGCATCTTTGAATTAGTGCCAGGAGAACACGCCGAGACGTGAAGAGAAACGAGACGAGCCACAAGTTTTTGTGTGTGCCGCAAGCTGTTGAGGAACTTTAGCTTGTAAGCTGGTGGCGGTTAAAAGTGCGATTGAATTAGAGTGGTGAGTCACTAGTGTTACGGCGATCGTGTACTCTCTGTGACCGACAACAAGAACACTAAAAAAAGCCAGTGCTTATTATCAAATTCGCAATGTGGTAAGTCGAATCCATCAGATACGGTTTATATCTGACCGGAATCTAGCAAACATATTATCAATGCTCAAGTCTCGATAAGATCACCTTGCTGTACATGATTTGCCCACTCCATTTCACTTTACCGCAGCATGCACCTGACAGTTTTCAGGCAGAAAATGGTTTGACTGTGCTGAATGCCACGCTGAAACCCAGTCACACCCCATTCTTCAAAGAGCCGAAATGGTTTTTGCCTGCAAAAAATGCAAGAAAACATTCCGGAAGGATGTTGAAGAATTCGAAGAATCCGATGAATATTGCCCACACTGTGATAACCACTTCGTACTAGAAGCCGTCACACCCCAGTTACGTTTGGAGGTAGAGGGTGAAGATGCCAGAATCGATAGCAGAATGATAAGTAACCGTGATCATCGTCTTAAGGGAGAAGAGGACAGGACTGTTTTTGACGTTAAAGAAGCTCCAAACAAACTGGGGTAAAGCGGAGCAAATTCTTCTCATTTATCACAGACGATATACAATTAATCATTGGTGCCCACACTTGTGTTATTTTGAGATATGTTCTAAGAGTCGGATAAATTCGATCTCTCATTAAATACAATTTTTCACTAATTATGCATAAATTACAAGACCTATGTGTGGGAGGAAGGTAGTGAACAATTTTTCTTTTCACACAGCAATATCATGATGAGTATCAAATCATTTTCTTTCTAATTTGATGATTCACCAGGTCTAGACGTCAGAATAGCCGCAGTTCCAGATCCTGCAGGGCCAGATATTCGGCTATTCTTTTTCTTTGAAGCTTCTTCTAATTTCTCTTGCTCGATGTTCTTAACAAAAGCCTCAATATCCTCCACTGGAAGCATCTCAATTGTCTTTCCGGGCGCCATTATTGCAATCTCAATATTTTTGGCCCCAGTCTGAACGACTTCTAGTAAAGACTTGATGGCTAACTTAATCGTTGCTTCTCGATCCATGTCATCCGTGTAATTTCTCTCAAGAAACTCACGAACAGTCTTGCTTGATCTCCCTATGGCATTTGCCTTCCTAAATACAGTTGTCAGCTACTTCGAACAAGTATAAAGGAATGGAGGCCCTGTACCAAGCTGAGAAAATTCCTGATGGCTCAGTCTGATATAATCTCGGAGTTTTATTATTGTGGTCAAATCCAACTATAAGTGTGCTTATTCCAAACGGTCGAACACCACCACTCTGAGTATACCGCTGTTGCACCCCTGCCACATATTTGGTAATATATTCGATCGTGACTGGATCCTCTACAGTTAGGCGATGAGACTGAGCTTCTAATCTAGCTTTGTCCACGAGAATTCTAGCGTCGGCGTTAAGGCCTGCAAACGCAAGACAGACGTGAGTGTCTAGAAGACCAATCTTAGATGGTGTGATACGGGTATCCTGAAGTTTCATTGCTGAACGTTTTTCACATCCGAGAACTACAATGTCTTTACCTTTGACACCGACTGCACATGTACCTGTTCCAGATAAGCTTGCGTTGAAATTACCCAGCACTGCAGGTGTACCTCTTTTGACCGCTTCTAACGCATACTCGACTTGGAAGACATGTCCGTCAGGACTATGGATCAGTCAGCGGTAAATTACTACGCCCATCTGTAGCAAGCTTAGACCTAAAGACTGTAGATTCGTCAGTATAGCATCAGAATAATTATGACTTAAATTTAAAGTTAATACCTGAAAGGGCTCTATCATATCCGGAAGCCATATCGATTAGGCTTCAAAACGGATGATTGGGAGTTTCTGGAATTAGGTAACTGATAGGTTCTAGGCTCGGAATAGCTTGGCGCGTCTTTGTCTTGGTCTAGAGTGTTGAGCTGTTTAGCTGTTGATAGCTATGAACAGTGCCTTTGTAGTAAGAATTGAGATGCTACACAGAATGGCCTGAATACACAGGTTTATCTGCAAGAGGCTCAGCCTTCCTCACTCGATTAGTCAGAAAGATAGAGGTCAGTTTTGAATGCATTTAACGTATGTACAGCTGTCTAGCTATGATGCATGATCAGTGCTATGTGTACATTTTGGATAACTCTTTTGACGATAGTGACACACATACTCTGGGTCTCATTTGTAAATACATTTACGAGATATGCATGCTTACACAAACAGTCGACCTTCCGTGAAAACATGTTAAAAGGAAATTTAAATCCACTCCAAAACTAAACCATGATTCATGATCCGCAAATTCTAGCGTCTCGGGAGCTAATCTAGAATCAGCCTGATCGGATCACTTACTCTGAGCACAATTGTTTCAGTATTAAATCGGCGTGGCCCCCTTTCAGAGCCAAACGTGATATTACACCACAGCACCATTCAACCAATTGCAGCTCCCGGAATACTTCTGCACATTTGATGATACGGTGGCGTAGAGTGAAGTTCTCTGCACTCTAAACTCCTTAAAAGGAGGGCATGACTGAACACCTGTCAGTGGTGCTCCCTACGAACCTGGGAGTGAAATATTCTCCCAGAGCCAAGTTCAGTCAAACTTCGCAATACCGAACAAGTTGGCCCACGAGGCAATGATTCAAATTACTCCACCATGTCAATCTTTCACTCCCAAAGAGTCCGATTCTCAACTAAGCTTTATCAAGTCTACAAGTACGACCTAGTACATCCTCGTTTCAATGACCATACCTCTCGTCGACTTTCTCTGGCCTCAGCCGGTCACCAAATACACGCCCACGCCGATATTTACACCCGACGGAGGAAGCAAAGCGTGGAGCACAATTTTGGGAGATAGCTCTTTGGGACGGACGTGAGAGGAATTAGGACAAGTTGAAAAGATGATGCAGAAGAGGGACATATTCTCGACGGGCGTCAAATTTCGAATTATGGAAAGAGTTTTACGAATTGAGCTTTGTGCGCGCCAAGACTTCGCTAGCGAGAGTGCAGTTGACACTATAAAAACAAGCAAACGATGGAAGGTGTTGTGGTCCGCCTCCTGGTGGTATTCTCCGGTATAGTTTGAGTAGCCTGGGCACCTACTCCACTTGGGAAGGAGATATCTCAGATCATATTTCGCGCGGAGAAAAGCTGAAAGATGATGGAGGTATGTCTGGATAACTCAGGGTTTTTGAGACGTTCCCCTGGGTGGGCATCTACGGATGAGGGTTGACTTGGTGTGAAGAAAAAGCCGCCATAACTTCGCAGTGGTACTTGCAAATGAAATCTGAGGCATGAGTGCTCTTCCTTAACGATGAGTCATCTATTCTGTACTTTTCTTTGATATTGTGTCATAGCTAGATAGCTGCATACGCAATTAAAATCTGATGCAGAAAAAAGTCAACGATGGAAGGTATTGTGATCCGCCTCCTGGTAGTGTTCACTAGTATAGTCTGAGTAGCCTGGCCACCTACTCCACTTGGGAAGGAGACATCTCAGATCACATTTCGCGCGGAAGAAAGTAAAAGGATGATGGAGGCATGTTTGGATAACTCTGGGGTTTTGAGACGTTCCCCTGGGTGGGTATTCACGGATGAGGGTTGACTTGGGGTGAAGAAAAAGCCGCCATAACTTCGCAGTGGTACCTGCAAATAAAATCCGAGGCATGAGTGCTCCTCCTGCAAACTGAGTCATCTTTTCTGCACTTTTCTTTGATATTGTATCATAGCTAGATAGCTGCATACGCAATTCAAATCTGATGCAAAAAAAAAACTTGCCTCTTCCAGGACTTTCGCTTGGCTTTTCGAACCACGGCTTTAAAGATCTTGCGGGCCTCTTTCGTGAGGTCAGGGTTGTCTGATAATATCAATTGTTTTTTTTAATTTTTATTTTAAATGAGGACTCTTGTATTTTTCACATAGAGCTAAAAACTATCTCCTTAATTTCGACTTTCACGGAATATCGTTGAATAGTACCCCTGCTTGCAAAACTAGTCGATAAACTAGACATGGGCCTGCATAAAGGCTAAACCAATCTAATTGATATGTACAGGGATCTAACCCCAATCATTTTGACAATTGTACAATTACCATCCATGAGACACTGTGCACTCTAAAACCCCTGCCAAAGTCCCACTACAAACTTGACACCGTGGCACAAATGTAGTTGGGGTAGCGGGCTGCACCTTAACCGCCGCCATGGCTGGATGGTGCAGTGGTACATCGTCTCGGTCGGTCTGCCAAGTAGAGTCTGGATAGCTTGGACACATATCCCACCCAAACAGTAGATCGCTGGTTCAAATACGGCAAAACACAACAAATTATCTCGCGGCGCAAATTAACATGGATGACAATGGCATGCAGGGGCAGCCAAAGGTTTTGAATTTCCCTTTGACGGATACTTACGGAGGAGGGCCGACTGTTTGTGTAAGCAAGCATAACTCATAGTGGCTTTGCAAATGAAATCCAGAGTATGAGTGACTCTAACGGTAAAAGAGTTATTCAACGTGTAAACATAGCACCGATCATTTTTTGTAGATAGATAGCTGAACGCACATTAAATGAATTAAAAAGAAGAAGTCCTAAGGTAAAACTCAAAGTTCACTATGTTTGCAGGACCGATAAAGCAGGCGGGGATCTCCTCATAGGCCTAACTCATTCGTACCACGCAATTTAGTGTTAAAGCCGAAGTGTGTATACACTGATTAAATTATACAAAGTCGAATCGAGTTGTAAAACGATGCAAGGAAGTTAAAAAGTCAAAAAACACTTTTAATTCACGCTAATATTCCCTGATACCAAATATTATTAAAAGAATTTTATTGTTTGTCTGTCTCCTTCTATCGGATTTCTGTCTACCAGAAGTGATTTTAATAAGTCCTGATGAGGACATGGTTTGTATAGTCTTCCAGGCGGACCTCTAGCAGAAGTAAAATATAGTCCCATAAAATGATTTTTATCGTCAAATCCCATCGCAAAAATATTGCGGATTTTTGTTTCTGACCTGTTAGCTTATTCCGTGGAAATTTTATTGAGTGACTTACTTGTTTCAGGCCACTCAGGTGGGAAAATCGGCCACATGATTAAATTCTCATATGGTCTGATCAGAGCGCCTTCTGCACTTGTTCGAGTAGCAGTATTTGATAGACTGTTGAATCGAGTAAGGTAAATTTGTAGGTTTATCACCCTGAATGTTACATCACTGCAACGATATGTTCCACTACTGTCTTGATTTTGGTGTTGAGGACTCAATGATGGTTTTATCGATATTATGTCTGCTGGTGGCTTCGGTATCCATATCTCTGTGCATGCAGGTTTAGGGGAGGCACATCGGACCACTTGCTTTATTTGAATTAAATGACATCTTAAATTGAACTCTACGTGGTAGACAGCTGCCCGGTCTATTGAAAACATATCAGGGGTAGAAGAGAATCATTTATGTGGAGTCTACTTACATATATGCTGAGAATTATAATCCTTTTTTGTGACGTGTTTATACCATAACTTATTGTCTGACCATGTAATACCATTTCGATCAAGAAACTGAAAAAACCCTTTGTTAGTCGGAGATAGATTTTTGAGTCCACTACATTTGCATTTCATTTCATTCTCGATTTCTGTGCTCAGAAAATTCGAGCCGCATGCAAACCCAGAAATCTTATATCTATTGTCCACATTGAGCTCAGGACTTAATTTGTCGTATTTCAGGAAAGGAGTACACTTTTCATAGGTGGGCTTCACATCAGCTCCATTTTTTGCATTCATCACAACACCCACAAGGCTGCCTTGATCGTCTATGACTACGCGATGAGACCCGGGCCTTCCTGCGATACTGGTAAGCCATATTGATTAGAAAAGCAAGTAAGCCAAAATGTGATGCATACCACCAATACGAATAGACCTGTAGTTTCTTAAAGGTACCACAAAAAGATTTTGGTTTGCTTTACTGAATAGCTGGGTGTTCTCAAGCAGTGCGGGATACTTATATTGAGGATTCACTGGTGTCATCAATTCGGAAGCGAAGTGAGCCACCTCTTGAGCCTCTTCGTGCCAGAATATTTGGTCATCACAGATATATCCACTTACGTCGTATTGCAATGATAACTTCAATGACGTGGCCGCAGTAAGAAGAATAAGATGCAAGTGTCTAAATTTTGAACTAGGCAGATTTACTGTAACCCGCATCTGGAATGATGACTCAAATAGCTGATGTATTTTTTCACATGTATTAATCTGCAAAGAATCATAGATATATGAAAGATTAAATTTCAATGACAACCATAGACCCACTACTTAATCAAATACTGTGGAGATTTTTTAAGCCGTAAGTTGCCGTGATAATTAATATGCATTAGAAACCATGTCGCTAAGCATGAAAACCAATTTAAGATCAAGTAATTGTAAATAAAAGTGATGGCGCCTGTCTATGTAGATGAAAACAAAATATTAAATGACTTGGATGGAGCAGCCACAATTTACCAACGTAGAGAGTCTGGACGGCAAAAACTGAGTTTTCAAGGCTCACCATTCTTCCTACACCGTAACCTGACAAGGGCCCAAAGCAGTTTGGCAATGCAAATACGAAGTGAGCACATGGGGCTTAACTCGTATTTACACAGGAGAAACGTACCCGAAGTATTAAGTCCAGGTTGTCCATGCGGCTACCAATCACAGAACCCAAAGCACATGATTATGTCCTGCCTCCAATGGTCAAATGGTAGAGCTGAGATCTGGAGACAAGCCAAAGATCGATCCTACGAAGCGATTTTAAATAATCCTGGAGATATAAAAAGGATAACACAGTGGATCCTAAACCATGGTTGGATAGAGCAATTCCAGATGACAAAAGCGGTCGAAATACTGCTGAGGGAAAGGAAAAGGTCAAATAATGCTGGGGGAGGATAGAGATGATCTGGTTAGTTTACATGGATGGCACTATAGTGTAACTGCGCTTCCTGAAGAAAATATGTGAGGACTATAGACAACAAAAAGAAAGGTGTGGGAGGTTTTCACCATAAAGGTTTCCTCCCGGGTAAATATTATAGACTGTAGACACCTGCATGGGCCCATAGGGCGCCAAATCAGGATAATGAAATCAAATCAAGTGACTTGGACAAATTTTTTTTTCTTTCTTTTGACTTGGGCTTGAGTGTTCTGGGCAATCCTCCTCATTCCTTAGTGTGCACAAAGCGGTGCCGATTCATGTCTTTTCTTTAGTTTAGTTTAATTTATCGTGCCAGGCTTACACCCTCCATCCAATGGACGTGACACGCATGGAGGACATCTAGAAAACAAGTTCCTCCATTCTCCAGCAGAGCCCATCCGGTGCCTGAATTTTCCAAATACGTGCCTCACGCTAGTTACATCGGGTCGAATAGGTAGGAACGCATTCACTATGATCCGAAGACCATGTATTTAGGGCAAACCTTCGTGGGAAAACTTCAATAATTCCTCCTGTACTCTTTCACGACGAGCAGCCGTAGTTCCCCCTTTAACAGGCCGTGTAGGTATCCAACCTACCACTTCTAGAAAGCACAACCAGCACCCGACCAACTGTGCCAACAGCCTGTTGAAAAACACATATCGTTCTTCTCAAATTCTCCCCTGCATTACGCTCAACCCCCATTTGAGAGGGCTGAAATTTCGAAATCGAGAGCTCAAAACCGAGGCATCGGTGCCCCAGCTTTTGTCGTACATTGTTCGTTGTCTGAGTGAGGCTTCTTCGTTCGCACCGTCTTTGGTATGTGTTGAAAAGTTGAGAATGTTGATGTCGTGGTCGAGGTGCTTGTCTAAAATGAGGCCGAGCAATTGCCCAGTCCTGCACACAATGCTAGTAAGGTTGAAAGCGAAAGGAATTTTACCTTTGATTTTGGAGGGTTGTTGGTGGGTCGTAAAATCCTCCCAGCCAAACTCAATCGGGAAGTTGTTAGAAGACTGAATAGAAGAGACCCAAACTTCAACTTTTGATCTATCGTGTCGGGAACGGAACCTTCACCATGTGTCAATCGTAATCAACTGGGCCACGCTCAGCAAGCTACCGTTGCGAAGGATGCGATTCTTCTTGGCTATCCCAGATACGTAGAGCAAACTGAGCGATTACACCGGCACAACTGGAAGGTAAAGAATTCGACTTTGCCGGCCATGTCTTTTCTTTAATTCATAGTGTATTCAGCTATCTAGCTATGACACAATATTAGTGCCACAATTCCTGAATAACTTTGAGAAAATCGATGAGATACCCTATAATCATCACCCTTACCCTTTGATTCGCATACATTTACACTAATTCGACTTCTCATAGCAACAAGATCTCAGATCTCCAACATTTCTCCGGGGCCTGCCAAATCATCGCGGCTTATTCGCCATAAAAGAATTATGGACAGAATGAATACCAAGCTGAAAAAGCACGTGGAACGCAAAAGAGTACCATTGAGCTCGATATACGGGCAAAAGATGGAATTGGACATGACCGAGAGGATAAGAGCCTTCGAAGAAGACTCGAACTCCACAAACCCAGATGTTGAGATGGGTGATGCAGCCATCAGCCAATATATCAAAGAGGGTCTTGAGAGCTCGAGATGGAATATACAGGAGCCCGAAGACGGTTAAGCCTCAGAGGCCCCCGTCAATATAAACACAAGGAAGATTGCTGTGCCGGCCATGAAGCGGACATCTAATGTTGACGCAAAAAAGGCCGAATTAGCCGCGTCCACCACAACCCCTCAGAATACCATTCCGAGGGAAATTCGTAACAATCAAACTTCTTGCAGCGACAGTAGCTCCAAGAAAACTGCGACTTGTCCTCCCGAGCTTCGAGCCATACTTGAAGCCGAAGAATAGCGAGCGGCCCAGACCGCAACTAATCTCAGAATATGCACCGCTGCTATCAATGTTGTGGAGAATGCGCTCTAACCTCTATCCAAAGGGTCGAGAGTTCAATTTATAGACTCCATCAAAGTCTACCTCCGAGCTGCAATAGCTCAATTCATGATGTCGGGACCAGGAACAGTCCTTCCCAACCTCCCCCCACGACCAAACTGCCAGAATCATTGCGGGAAGATCGTGGAAAAAACGATTGAAAAGCAGCAAGAGCTGCTACAAAAAGCGACCCAGGCCAAGGTGATTCAGGTCAAACCTACCTGGGCGACAGTTACCCGTACTGGACTCAAGACGCCTGCGGCACCAATGAAAGACGTTTGAGTCCACAACAAACCCTCCGTATCAGTGAAATCTCCAGCAAAGGCTACGACAATAGCCGTCAAAGACGATCGTTTGTTTCTTTGACTCGGCAAAAACCACGCCTTGCGTGTGAGATGCGGCAGCAAAAGTGCTCGAGCTTCCCTCACAAAATATTGAACACCTATACCGTGTTCCGACTGGTTTCGCACTTCGAGCCAAAAACCAGGAAGCACGACAGCTTCTTGTAAACTCTGCTGCATCGTTCGTCCAGGTAGACGCAAAGTTGGAGAAGGCCTCAGATCCAGTGGCCCTTCGTATTGTGACAATTCCAGTCGCTATTCATACACTCCAGGAAAAAGTAATTGTCACCGACGAGATGGTGGCCGACAAAATCACCCGACTCATCAACAAAGTTCCGGCAAGGGTCCGCCCTCATGGAAAAGGACGAGTCGAGTCCCCCTACTAGACATGGATGGCTCACTTCGAAAGAGCGTCCGTCCCTTGACCGGGATTCCGACTATTTGACGACTCGGGAATCGCTGCTCAACATCAGCCCCGCCCAACTGTGAGTCAATGCAAGCGAAGTCTCCTATACCAAGAGACTCAAAGTTGCTCGCGCACCCCAGTATGCTGGAACTGCACCTCAACAGTGCACTCCACGTCTGAATGCAAAGAGTATACAAAGTTCCGCAACTGTGGGAGGCCTCACCGATCGGACAGCCGAGATTGCCTGGCTCGTCCCACCAAGTCTAGAACGGCCTCGAGAGAAAATCTCTTGTCTATCAGACAAGCTAGCCAACGTGAACATGCTTCGGTGGTCCGAGAAAAAACAGACGTTCAACGAGCAGAGGCCGCTATCAAAGCAGCCGCTGAAACAGACCAAATAAGTCCACAGAACTACAGCTCTAACAACAGCTTCGAAGTTCTAATGACGGATGAGATGCCAAACGTGACTGAGGTCACAGAGGCGGTAATCCCGAAAAATCATTCATAAAGGGCGCCACACGGGCCTCTTTCCGCCTCCCTCCTACTCTAAGTTTCATATCAATAAACGTAGGTAGAGGAGGTCCGACACAGAATATTGCACTCGCCCGAGCATTCGAGCTGAATATCGACGTTGTTCTCATTTAAGAACTTCGGTGGAAGGAAGAGACAATGTCGCATCCTGGATATATTTGTCACCTACCTCATGGTGGCGAAAACGTCAGGTCAAGGGCTGTGACCTACACCCGGAAAGATGATAGGACGATATCAGCGAGGCAAATCTTTCCCTGCGCTAAGCTGACGGGCGACTATTGCTGGGTGGTAGTGAATGGAATCACTTTCCTCAATGTGTACAAGGCGCCCAGAGAAACATCAGCCGTACAGCCAATTATTAATTGGACCCCGCCACCAAACTCAGCTGCTGCGTGTGATTTCAATTCGGTGTACTGTGCCTGGCAACCAGGAGTTACTCGTCCCTACATATAAGGCGAAATATTTGAAAGATGGGCTGAAGAACACCATCTAACTTGCCTTATTATCGGAGAACCCACACATCAAGCTGGAAACACCTTGGACCTTGCCTGGACCAACATTAACGGTAGCCGTTCATGGGTAGACCGTGATGAATGTGTCACTAGCGACCATTTTCCCATCCGAGGAATAGTTCCGGTCCAGTCTGCAGTATTAAGACCCAAGCTAGCCAAGATTCGAGTGACTAGTGAAAAACTGCCAAACTTTGCGCGAGCTGTTGCTAAATTGCTTCGTTTGCCGCCACTCCTAGACACGATTCATAAGGTCGAAGACTACGCCCAGGAACTTTGTTCCCACCTCAAGACTGCCATCAGTGCAACAGGAACTCGATCTAGAGCAAACGCCGGTCAATCTGCCCCATGGTGGACCCCGGCGTGCAAGGCTGCAAGGGCCGAACACCCCCTCAACGTTCTGTGTACGCCAAAAAGCACCGATCAGTTCTTAGAGCCGCTAAAAAGGAATATCAAGCACAGCTAGTCGAAAAATTGACC